AAAATTGACAAAGTGAATGACGCTTAATCTAGACGAAAAGAAATTTTTGGCGAGACGCAAATGTCTATCGTTGTAATATGGATATTCGCGGCTTTTCTTTCTTTCTTTTTTGTTACTTTAGAGCAAAGTGAGCAATGCCGCTTTTAGGAAGTAACGATTCAGTTAATAAGTCATCATAGTATTCTCTCTATTTGATTATATAAATTAATGATTTAATTCTCTATCTTCTGTTTATAATTTATAACACAAGTATCTCGTGTGGTGAATCACGACAAAGTAACCTGCGTCTCGTGCAAGATCTGTCGTTTGCGGATCCTTATTTATCATTTCTACACTTTACTGTGATCAACTTGACTTAGCCAACATGTATTTAAAGATCACATCGGCTCTCGAATATTTGAAATAACATAATTGTAAATGTCAAGGAGAATGCTGTGTGAGCTTTTTACATTATTTAATAAATTTCTTTTTAAGTTGAGGAACTGTTTACTGTGGTCGTAAGATTATAGTGAGATCCGTCAAATTCCGTAAATTTAAACGTAATTAATTTAAACTATTTCGAATATCTAAAAATTATTGAATTACAGACTAGAGAACATCGCATGAGAATCATTTCGAGCGGAACGAAAGCAAACAGAATGGTATACGGTATACCAATATAATACATAAAATCAGATAAATGAATTATCTGCTAAGGTTAATAGATTTGTGTGGCAATTCGTCGGAAGTAATGACCGCTGTCTGATCGATTAATAAGAGTATAATTGAAAGAAATCTATAACAATGGTTTTTGAAGAAGACTGGACGCATAAGTTAAGCGAGAGCACGCAGAATATTTTGTAAAAAAGAATTAATGTGGCTGTACAGACTGATTGGTAGCGTATCTAATTAATCATAATCTCAATATCGTGTATCTAAAGAAAGCTGTTCCAAATAACGTTTTGTGGGTGTCAAGTGTTTTCTGTTTTGTTATTTTTATATATAGGGTGTTCGGTTTTGACAAAACGCTTATAATCTGGCTTACAGCGGACTAAACTGAGTCTTCTACCATTTGCAATTTTCGCAACACGTTAAATGCCCTACGGACCGGCATTAGATTTTCCGTTTACGGCCCCTACGAATCGGCGCTCAACTTTTTGTTTAGGCTACATCGAGAATGAACATTTCGTTTAAGCGAAAGTCAGTCCTTGAGGAATTTAAAGTAATAAGTGAAGAATATAAAACTTTATCAAAAATTAATGTAATTTATTAAAACAATTTAAAGATGGGGATTTCCTTTACAGGTATTACAAAAAGTTACAACTTTTTTGATTAAATTTTTCATCATTTTCCACTGAAACATTTTTTAATTAATTTTGTAACATTCTATGCAGTAGTCATCGCAACCTTTCCTCGTTATTTTTTGTTTACACTTCAGCTCACGCATCTCTTCAGTTGCCTGGATGATATTGTGTGGTAAACGGAAAGTGAAACAAAATAGGCTCGGCACTTAAAAGTGTTAACGATGCCGAATAAGCGGATAAAATCGACATATAAGACAATTTTAAGATATTTTCAAAGTTCTTTACGACATATCTTAAAGATATTTCATAAAGAACTCTTAAAGATATCTTAAAGTTGCTTTATGTGCAATTGCAAACATTTTGCTCACTGGTTAATTAAAAAAAGAATTTTGTAAAATAGTATATTACGAAAATTGTATATTACTTTTCAACTCAGTTTAGTCTGCTCTACCTGCCCACGAGGCTTTGTCAAAACTTATTGAACACTCTATGTACACACACACATGCACGCACGCACATATTATATTTACATAGATCTATTCAGAATAATTTAGCAGCATGCTTGTTAAGTGTGTGTCAAGATGGATGTGAGAAAGAGAGAGAG